GATACAACAAAAACCAAATGACCAAAGGTTCTGTTCATTTTGTCCAAATAACATGATTGAAAATGAACACCATTTTATAACGGATTGTACACTATACAATGATAAGTGCCTATTGCTGTTCACTTTTCTTTCCGCTTGTTCAATTGATTTCAATACGTTAGATATTATATTTAAATTAAACTACATTCTCATCGGGAGATAACCAATACAGTGTTCAAATAGGAAATACATTAAAGAATGTTTTAGTCTTAGAGAACACATGTTAGAGAATAGTTAACCTTTATTGTTACATCATACATATTCTGTACGTAAGATGACGTTATCCACACATGTATTTAGCTCTGTTAAATCTTTAGTTAAGTTGTAGAAGACCATGCAAAAGTCCCTGTACTTTTTGTTGTGTCAATAAAGAATCTGTATGTGGCATGACTTTATTGCCGAACTGCGGTAGGTTGCAATGGAATATATAACGGATCTACAGTTAAAAACTTTTAAGTTACTCACAGGGGAAGTTATTTAGTCGGGAACCTCGCCAGTCTCCGTCCAGGTCCCGTTCGGTAGTGCCAAAAATCAGGCCGAACGCGCCAAGCGGGCCCCTTTCTTGAATTGGCTAGGCTTTAGCTGCCGGATAGCCATATATGCCACCGTGCACCTCAATCATCATGGTTAGCCAGCTTCAGCATGGGAGATCTAATAATACTAATAACCTTTAATTACACTGTGTTGACTGTAGATTAAACATTTTTTTTAACAAGAATTGAACAATAAAGTCTTAAATCAGAAAATTGTAATTATTTTCTCTGTAATTGCAATGGTAACCCCGATTTCGAAAAGACATGTACTTTTTCAAATTAGCATTGAAGCTGACGTAATCTTCTCTTTGGCTGTGGTAGCGACTCGTACAGTAGTATAGATAACAGTATATTTTCCTTATTAATCGCTACGGTGGAATCAAGTCCAGGACTCTGCTGTTGGCTTGGTGTTGTAATTATGTAGAACGTCGGGTAATACGTTGTCAGCTCAGGTTGTACTCCGGATCCAGGGGGGGGGGGGCACTACAGTTCCCCAAGGGTTGACGATACGCTGCCTTCAAGGGTCGGTGTTGCGGCTGCTCACTCTGCATCTCAAATCTTTTCCCACGTTTCTGCAGTATGACTTACTGCTTTAACGTCCTGTTTAGGCCTGTTTCGGCTTGTTGACCACCGTCGGAAGGCTATAAAATTTCGTTTTTGTTTTCTTAACCCTCAACAGTACACCTTCCCGGACTGATTAATCTGTACACCTGGGGTCCGTGCGGACCCCAGAACAGTTTTTTGCTAATTTTTAGAAATTATCAACATGCTACCAGCTCAATTGTTTTGCAAACTGATGTGGGAACCTCTGTGTCAACATTACATACAAAAATCATACATTTTGAACTTTTTCTATTTTTTGGTGAAGAAAAGAAGACAAGAAGAAATACCCGATTTGTAAACCCATTTCAGACTAAAGGGGCTTTTGAGGCCCAACTTTGATCTCAGATAGCGGCTAAACGGCTTGCGCTAGAAGTATCAAATTTGGAGACCTTTTCCTAAAATGCCTCTGGGAAAAAGTTCATATTAGTTTAATACTAGTAAGTTGATGTTTTTTTTGTGTTGCCATGGCAACGGGTTTCTAGCAGACAGTTTTTTTTAAAATAGAAGTAATTTTGGTTTAAACATAAAAATTTTCTGAGTTTTATAATAAATTACACTTCTTTTCCAACATTAACAACATCTTACATAATTAAATATAAGTTAAATCATTTAATATACATAGAATATGCTAATTTGATGACGTCATTGGTCAAAATCCAACATGGCGGACTATATTATTAGCTCTGACGTCATATGACGTTATAATTACACCAAAGTTATTAAAATTTAATTCTATTAATACAACATTCTCTGAAAACTTGGTAGACATACGATGAGTACATAAAAACATATAAAAACGGAAATAAGGTAATGTATAAGAACGCCAGTGTATCCATTATGATCGAAAGCCGGCTGGGGTCCGCGCGGACCCCAAAAGAAAATCAGATATAATTTTTTTTAATAAATGAAAGAAACGGAGTTTTCTGCATTGTATTGAGAGACAACTTTGTGGGTGACAATTACCTAAAATTTCAGAAAAAAATCTTTAGAAACAAAAAAGATATTACAGAATATATAGTGCTGGGGTCCGCGCGGACCCCAGGTGTACTGTTTAGGGTTAATTAAGCGAAATGCGCGCGATGAGCCTCTATGCTATCTAGAATTACAAAAAAAATTCAAATTGGAATTAGAACATGCGGTTTACCATGTACACTGAAGACAATGGATGCTAGGACATTGGGATTTTCTTACACACAACCTGGGATTCGTAGCTTGCTTCCGTTTCGATGTTAATAGGGCACCTTCCTCAGAACTGACTAGTCCAGCTTTTCGCCGATATATTTTAGCCGATGTAGGTGGCGTTTTTGCGGTGTGAACACAATCTGAAACATGGCTGAGTTTGTATCTCCCCTCGTCCCGGTTCACCTTAGTGCCACCTACATCGACTGAATATAGCGACGAGAAGCAGTAAACATCGGAGTGTATGTACGTAGATGGTTTAGACGTTATCAACAACATATATCATTTGTTCTTATTAAGCAGTCTTGAAAGAGACGGCAATGGGCTACGTTGATATTGAGTGGTGCGACAAGGTGCAAGAGTCATTTTGACAGAGTTTCTAAGGTATCGGTCGTTTGGGCATGGGATCTGCTGTGCGTTCGAATGCGGCCATGCTGTGGGAAAACTTGGTACATGGCTTTCCTCAAACACAGGACTCCCATTTAACGTCCTATCCAAAGGACGTCCCTACATGTAATTGCAGCTAGGTCCTCATTTCAACCTGAGTGAAATAATGCCGGGGTCACATTTGGCCGGCCGGGCTGTTTCTGTTAACGACAAATCAATAATCATTACTAAAAATGATTTACGCAACTAGTTCCTATGATTGATTTTTTTAAAACTTCTTTGTGCTTTGTTGTCTTTTAAATCATACTTTTCGTTCTATTAGACTGCCCGGCCGGGCCCCGGTTTAGAAATGTGACCCCGGTATAAATTTGTGAAATTTGACATCTTGGTTGTGAGCCGAACACACTATCGTTACGTCTATTGATTAGAAATTGTTGACATTGCTCAAGGCTGTGTGGCATAGGATACACTCCAGTGCTTTGTATTTTTTGCAATGTTTGTCACCTGTAGGTCTACTTCCGAACGCATCCACAATAACGCATGTATTCGCAACCCCCATATATGTAGTGCTTTAGTATGAGGTGTTCCTGAAACAGCCATACTGTGTTTCCAATGATCACTCCGACATTATAGTACATTTCGCACTTTAAAAAAATCTAAGGCAAATTGTATCTGCTTAAATATTACTTACCCATCAAGCCACCATGTATCTGCTTTGAGCTTGCACATTATAGGTCATTCGGCCCCCGAAATTGAATCCATTTAACGTTCTCGGTTGAGTTAAGGCGGCCTAGGCTGATATTCATGTTCGAGTTCGGGCGTGTGTCTGCACGATTGCCACATACATGTTTCGAACCCGAATCATGTTCCACCATGTTCGATATGACGTCATTCGAATAGAACGCGTGTTCGAATTCGGGGTCACTCGCGGTCATTTGTATGTTTCCCCTGTAAACCCGCGTTGTTACGCATTTTATTCACGGACTATAACATAAACTGCTTTACGCGCAGCTGAAAACAGCATAATTGATCTTTAGAGTAATACATGTTTACGTATTATCACTTTTTTATCAAAATTGTCCGAGGCTATTTTGCATATAAGTCGATGTTTTTTAACTGTGGCGATTTTTTAACGAAAAATGACAGAAAAATAGCTGTTTCTGTCGTTTTTGGCCCAAGAAAACAATGTAACTGTCATTTAACACAAAATAGCCTCGGACAAAAATAATAAATAGGGGGTTGGCTTTCTACTTGTAAAATATCATGATGAAAGGTGTTGTTACCGCTTGCGCGTAAAGCCATGAAGTAAACAGCTTTTTTTAAACCAAAATGTTGATTTTTAACCCAAAAATCCAGAAGTAGTAAAAACAAAATAACCTTTATTCAATGTGTTTCAAGTACTACTAGAACTGTGTGAAGTTTAGTTGTGGTGCGACCAAGCTATCAAAAGTTAAAGGCATATGTATGAAATACTACTCATAGTATGCCATAGGCTGCCTTAACCCAACCGAGTTATGGCAGAGTAAGAATGAGAAACACGTTGCAGGTGCTAAAGGCACATGTAGTTAAACTAATGTTATCAACAACCATCATCATATCGGAACTTCACTCGCTAGTGCCTCCACCTCGAACATTCTCAGCACGGCCGGACACGCTTTGCCACTGCCACTGAAGCAAATCACCCTTTCTTTCTCCATACACCACCTCTTAGGAGGAAGTTCCACGCTGAAAGCCTTTTTCTACAACAACATCACTATGGAACAAGCTACCACGTGATTGTTTCCCACATAGGTTTAACCTTAAACGTTTTAAGTCTAAGGTCAACAAACATCTGGTCTCACTGACTGTACAGTAACCCAAAACATTTAAGTGGCTCACTTGACCCTTGTTTTGTGGTGAGCTATATGTGGTGAAGTAAGTAAAAAAAGCCATGACATTCCTAAATCCTGTATCAAAAGAATATAAAATAGAATGAAAAAAAAGGCCAGGGGTACTTGTCCACTCTATACCGTTGTACCAAAATTCAAGTGATGTAACCAAAACATGTAGAAATTGAATCAATTTAAGAAAATAACAGGATCTATGAGGAGAAGAAAGGGAAGAGTAAATGATGGAAAACAACATTTAAATCAACACCATGTACATACTGAAATAAATATATATGGACCCAGTAACACTGTACAAAACATAGCCTCTCTTCACGCTTACATAGTGGCGTGACGTTACCTGCACCTGATGATGTTATTTCTCATTCCACAGTAACCAGCGGCACCGGATGTGGAGGTGACCTGACGGCTCCTTCTGGAGGCCCTGAGACGTCACCCAACTATCCCGGTAACTATGGCAACAATGAGAACTGTGAGTGGTCGATCACTGTACCAGAAGGAAGCATCATTCGCCTCACGTTTGACAGATTCTACACTGAGAGGAATTATGACTTTCTCACCATCTACGATGGAGCCGGTGATAATGCTGCAGAGATGGAAAGGTAATTACTATTATTTATTTGTTTCAGGCACTTACTGGCCCATAATTAGACAGTAGACTAACAAAACATGAATACATGCAAAACACACCAAAAATCAAATCCTATATAAACAAACGTCTTTGGATATTTGCGAAGTACGAGTTGCGATAGAAGAACACGGCGGTCTGTCACTACGGTATTCTTTCCCATTGGTAGGCGCGTTCTAAAAAGTATCGGGTTACAAGACGCTATTTTGGCCTGTTTTGGACTACCCGTAAAACATTTGAAAATAAACAAATAATATTAAGTGGTAAATTTCGTCAAATTGAAATGAAATTATCGTCTTAACATCCTTTAAATGTTAGCTTTTTTATGTTAAATCACTGATTTTTTTACAATTTCGCTCAGAAAGACGATTATTTTCGGGTTTCCGAGCACAAGCCATGTCACGTTTTTAGGCATATCTCGTTCAAACCTGGCTACGTATATTACCCCAGATCCTCGATTTTTATATTTTTCGCTGACTAGGAATAAGATCAAAAATCGTGTTTTTGGGATTTTTTAATTTCTGATTTTAAGTCTAGTTCTTGTCGACATATTGGTGAAAAACTGCAATTTTTGACATTTTTCTCACTAAATTACCCATAATTCAAAATTGAGGCCATTTTTCAAAAATCCCTAAAACACGATTTTCGGGACAATCGTTACGGTCATTTTGAGCCGTAAATGGGGTATGTTTGACTCTCCATGTTTCCAGGTTTGAACGAGTTTTGCAGACATGTCAAATCACCAGAAAGTGTGCATTGTGTTATTCATACAGGCATGAAGAATCATTACAGTATTCAAGGTCACCCAAGGATACGACAGTAGCTCCGCTACATGTTACATACCCACCAAAACTTATAGCGGACATGTACTGTCCAGGAAACTGTTTGTATCTATAGAAAAGTGTTGCTTTTTATTTGTTGCGAGGCACTCAGGCAGAAGGGCTTGTTTTGGCGTTTTATTGTAAATGACCGCAGGTGACCCCGAAATGGAACGCGGGTTCGATTCGAATTGCCCAGATCGAACGCGATCGAACACTGTTCGGATTCTATGAAATGTGGGAACTTTTCAGCCCAGATTTTACCACCGTGGAAAACCTTAAGTACAGACTGAACATTATTGTTAGAATGACTGAATAAACTTTTTTTGCTCAACAGTTGTACATTGTACAATGTTGGCAATACGATTGGTCTATTCTAAGAAACTACTACGAAAAAGTAAATGACGTATTGACATGAATGTACGTTACGTTTGTTACAGGACCTTCTCTCCTCTGTAAGGCACTACATGTATATTTAGGCCTAAGTGCGTAGATATGGAGTCGGGGTATGACTTCAGTACATTTAAAATTTTCGTGTTGGTCGTTGGGAAAGCGAAGGGTTTACTGGCTTTACACGTGATCATATTCATTTTCTATTGCCAGCTTGTGCAAATTGATTCTTAACTTGCTAATGTTAATTGTTAATGTTAATGTTAACTAACTGACGCCAAAGGTATCAGTCAGGTTAAAAACAAACATCTCCATGGCACTACAAGTTCTAGGCAGATCGAAACACATGATAAGATCTAAGTTATCTATTTTATGCTCCTTGAATCAAATCTACACAAAGTAATAACGATGACCAATCAACATTGGGTATTCAAGGTATTCATTCTGCATAACGAAAACTACATCAAAGCTGGGAATTTTTACAATAGATTGTGTGTCAAATATTGATTTTTCTTATTATTCCATAATGTCTAGGTTAACCGGTTACCAACTACAAATTAGCCCCATCATGAGCACATCCAACACGCTGTTCCTGAGGTTTACATCTGATGGGAGTGTCAGCGGTCAGGGGTTCCAGTTCAACTACATAAGTAAGATCTTTGGTTACACTTCTCAAATCAACACGGTCATTGATATCATTTAGTATGCTGGTTAATATGAACTGTGTTTGTGGCAATTTTTGGTATATGATTAGTTTCTAGGGTCCAGAAGATGCGAAGAAATTGCAAATTATGTAATTGACGCTTAATTGGCATGATTAATAAGGAAATTTGAAAATCACATTGGCATACACTATAGGATTTTTATAGTTTGTAATCTATGTAAAGGATTGGAAGTGGAACATAAATAGTTAAAAATAATGTAAATATACACATTATTGTAGATCAATGATAAGTGACAAAGGAAGGAAATCCATACCTTTACATTGTTTTGTTCCAGGCAGGACTGCAGGTCAATGCTGGGATCCCGGTGTGCCGACCAATGGGAACAGGGATAACAACAGTAACTTTACATCAGGACAGACAGTCAGGTACACCTGTATGGACGGGTATCAGCTGAGGGGGACTGCTAATATAACCTGCCAGCCGAACGGGACTTGGAGTGGTGCTACACCAACTTGTGAAGGTAATAAATAAAGGATAAAACTATTGACGTTAGGGTTAGAACCTCTGGTTTACGGTATTCATGCGTACACAGGTAACATTGATCATCATGTTCAAAGTGGCTTTTTTAATGACTTAAACCATTGAAGTTTTAATTGTACAGTATCCCCAGGATGACCAAAATAGCCCGGTCTGTATAAAGTTAACCCAATTCAAATCGTTACGGGAAAGGTCACCCAACGATCAGAGGTGCTTTTAAAGCAGGCCCTCTGTAACTCATNACATGAATGTACGTTACGTTTGTTACAGGACCTTCTCTCCTCTGTAAGGCACTACATGTATATTTAGGCCTAAGTGCGTAGACATGGAGTCGGGGTATGACGTTCAGTACATTTAAAATTTCGTGTTGGTCGTTGGGAAAGCGAAGGGTTTACTGGCTTATACACGTGATCATATTCATTTTCTATTGCCAGCTTGTGCAAATTGATTCTTAACTTGCTAATGTTAATTGTTAATGTTAAATGTTAATGTTAACTAACTGACGCCAAAGATATCAGTCAGGTTAAAAACAAACATCTCACTGGCACTACAAGTTCTAGGCAGATCGAAACACATGATAAAGATCTAAGTTATTTATTTTATGCTCCTTGAATCAAATCTACACAAAGTAATAACGATGACCAATCAACATGGGGTATTCAAGGTATTCATTCTGCATAACGAAAACTACGCCAAAGCTGGGAATTTTACAATAGTTTGTGTGTCAAATATTGATTTTTCTTATTATTTCATAATGTCTAGGTTAACCGGTCACCAACCACACATTAGCCCCATCATCAGCACATCCAACACGCTGTTCCTGAGGTTTACATCTGATGGGAGTGCCAGCTATCAGGGGTTCCAGTTCAACTACACAAGTAAGATCTTTGGATACACTTTAACCCTATCTAGACCGGGGGGGGGGGGGCTAAAAGTGCCCGCGCCAACTTTGATGTCACATAGTGTCTGAATGGCTACGGCTAGAACGACCAAACTTTGGTGATTTTCCTAAAATATTGTTGGCAACAATTTTCTATCATTGGAATAATTTTTTGTGTTGCCATGGCAACGGGTTTCTGACAGGCATTTTTTGCTAAATTTAGTAATTTTTGTTTCAACAATAGAATTTTATGGGTTTTATGTAAAGTTACTCATGGTTTCTAATATTAATAACATCCCATATAATTTTATGTAAATTTTCTCATTAAATATGCATAATTTATGCTAATTTGATGACGTTATTGGCCAAAATCCAAGATGGCGGACCATATCATTAGAACAGGTATATACAAGTTATTTTCCTTAAAATTTCATCAATACTTCCATTTCTTTTTCCAAAAAAGGTTTAAATGAAGGTCTTTGGTATGTTTACAATGTATTTTAGGCTTTATCACGAAAAAAAACTATTTTTGAAAATTCAACATTGATGATCCAAGATGGCGGATATCTTAAATATGTATGACGTCATTTTATGACGTCACCGGTGTTGCTATGGGCAACATAAGACTTAGTACACTCTAATATTCTGTCATCAACACTTTTGGTAAAGTTATGTTGTATACCATTTAGTTTTCAGGGAATAGCCTATCTAGACGGTTTTGGCCAATAAAATCCCATTAATGACGTCATAATGACGTCATATTACGTCATAATGACAAAAAAATTGTAGATATGATAAATTTTAACTAGTACACCATCCTCTGAAAATTTGGTAGCCATACGACATACCGTTAGCGAGTTCTGAGGGGGGGGCTGAAAGAGCCCCCCCCGGTCAAATCTTGCTCAAAAAAGCCCGGTCTAGATAGGGTTAACAAGGTCAATGATATCATTTAGTATGCTGGTTAATATGAACTGTGTTTGTGGCAGTTTTCTTTGATTTTCGGTACATGATTAGTTTCTGGGGTCCAGAAGATGCGAAAAAAATTGCAAATTATGTAAATGACGCTTAATTGGCATGATTCATACTATAGGACTTTTATAGTTTGTAATTTATGTAATGTATGGGAAGTGGAACAAAATAGAAATAATGCAAATATACACATAATCGTATGAAAATGGCAAAGAAAGAAAATCCACACCGTTACATTGTTTTGTTTCAGGCATAACTGCAGGCCAATGCTGGGATCCTGGTCTGCCGGCCAATGGGAACAGGGATAACAACAGTAACTTTACATCAGGACAGACAGTCAGGTACACCTGTATGGACGGGTATCAGCTGTTGGGGACTGCTAATATAACCTGCCAGCCGAACGGGACTTGGAGTGGAGCTACACCAACTTGTGAAGGTAATAAATAGAGTGTCGTCGTGTGGTGTAGTGATAGATCACTGGACTATGAAACGGGGAGACCCGGGTTCGACCCTGGGTCGTACCCGAACAAGTCCGAACATGCGCCCCGACGTTGTACCCTTGGGAATGGTACTTTACACGGCTTTCCTTACTTCACTCAGGTGAAAATGAGTACCTAGCTTCTGTGGAGGGCGTCTTATACGTGGGGACGTTAAAATGGAGGTTTGAGGGGAGACACACCTCAAGCACGTTAAAGAACCGCGTGAGTGGAAGTGGAACAAACCATTATGGTCTAAAATGGGGTAGGGAATTTTCCCGACCAGCAGCCTCGTAACCCCTGCTTCTCCTATTGTGAGAAATTAGGCTGGTCTCAATCTTGATGTTTCTGAGTCAGGGAGAAGAGTTGCTGTTACAGTTCTACTCGGTAACCCGTAACCGAGGCAAGTGCTAATACCACTCAGGTGGTAATGCCATTCAGGTGATACCATTCAGGTGGTTAACCAACCTTGAAGTGGCCTAATATGGCCTTGTTACGTGGCGACACCACTAAGTAAAAAAAAGAGTATTTACCTTTGGGTTAGAACTTCTGGTTTACGGTATACATGCGTATACAGGTAACATTAATCGTCATGTTCAAAGTGGCTTATTTTAATGACTTAACCCCTTGAAGTTTTAGTAGTACAGTATCCCCAGGATGACCAAAATAGCCCGGTCTGAATAAATTTAACCCAATTCAAATCGTTAGGAGGAAGGTCACCCGATGATCAGAGGTGTTTTTGACCTAGCTTTGTTGAAATCTCTGTACTTTTTCTACGTAAGCACGCTGTGTTTTTGTTTAAAAGGAACGTGGTCCGCGCGCCTCGTAAGTTATCACTTCTGGTCATGGTAAGGCTAGGTCACGCAATGGCCGACGGAACAAGCCATCGTTCACCCCCATCAAACTCCTTTCAAGCCGTACCCGGAAATTCTGGCCGTACCCGCGAAAATCTGGCCACCTATCTGCCGAATGGTGTCGTACAAATCGCGAGATTACTTCGCTCGGCCGGCTCGCACTCTGCAGACCGCTTCTCGGGCCGAACGAAGTGTTCTCAAGATTTTTTTTCCAAATAGAGTTTGTATGAATTCTTATATGGAAAAAAATGAATTCTTATATTTAAAAAATGATTCTTATATGGAAAAAAAGAACATGGTATCTCATTTTTTCCAAATAGAGTTTGAAGGAATTCTTATATGGAAAAAATGAAATAAGGCCATGTTATCTAATTTTTTCCATATAGAGTTTGAAGAAATTCTTATATAGAAAAAAATGAGATGTTATGGACATGTTATCTCATTTTTTCCAAATAGAGAGTGTATTGAATTGTTATATGGAAAAAATGAGACAAGGACATGTTATCTCATTTTTTTCCAAATAGAGATTGTATGTGGTAAAAAATTGACACAACCTTTCAAAAACTACTTACCACAACCCTTAAAATGAAAATACGTACTAAATAAACGTGATAAATAACCAAGTCTGTATTATCCTAAGGTACAGGTAACAAAAAGAATATATATTGTGTTACATATAGATATATTGATAATATCAGAAATGTCCAGTCTTACTATCATTTCTTGGGGTTGCGGAACAAGGAGATATTCAGTGTACCATTTGGTGTCGGAACATAGCCATAATTGCGTCGAAACAAATGTGCATCAAATTCAACCAGACTTGTCTCTTTTCCTGTATG